GCCTAACGTCAAGGACTTCCAGTGGAAGCGCCTGGCGCCGCTGCCCAGCCGCCGGGTCTACTGCTCCCTGCTGGAGAGCGGCGGGCAGGTCTATGCCATCGGGGGATGTGACGACAGCGGCATCCCCATGGACTGCTTTGAGGTCTACTCCCCCGAGGCCGACCAGTGGACCGCCCTGCCCCCCCTGCCCACAGCCCGGGCCGGGGTGGCCGCCATCGCCCTGGGGAAGCGGATCATGGTGATCGGGGGTGTGGGCGCCAGTCAGCTGCCCCTGAAGGTCGTGGAGATGTACAACATCGATGAGGGCAAGTGGAAGAAGAGGAGCGTGCTGCGCGAGGCCGCCATGGGCATTTCTGTCACGGCCAAAGGCGAGTGGGGCCAGGGCTGAGGGAGGGCAGAGAGAAGGGAGTGGGGGTCACGGGGAGAGGGATGGAAGCCAACACTGAATGGGGGGCCCACTCTCACAGGCCTGATCCCATTTGATCCCTACAATAGACACTGAAACTGAAGACCCACTGGCCTTCTTTTACAGATGGGAAAACAGGCGCAGCAGGTGAAGTGTCTAGTAATTGCATATGATACCAGAACTCCACTCCCCCAGGCTCCTGCCAGCAAGCAGGGCAGGCCTGGCCAGAGGGGAGAGCTGAAGGTTTAGTGCCATGTCTCCGCAGACCCCTTCATTCAGCAGAATGACGAAGCCTCCCACCCACAGCACCTCATCCCCTGACATCGGCCTTTTAGGTACCACCACCTCTAGACCCATATTTGGGGCCCTGGGGACGTTCCCTGCCTCCTTGTACCATCCCCAGGCCCCACTGGTGGGGCTTTGAGGCCTGACTCCAGGGCCTTTCCCGCCACCCTCAACCTCCCCCTCTGCCTCCTAATCTCAGAGATGCTAAGGAATGGAGACTAGAAATTTCCTGAGGGTGGTGCTCCTGCAGCACCTTGCCCGGGTTTACAGGTCTCAGGGCGAGCATGTGCTGACCACACGGTTATTTGATCTTCATTTCACTTTGTCAAAGCCCCTTATTTCTTTCTCACTGGGCCTGGTACAGCCCAGAGCACAGAGGGGGTTCCAAAAGCTCTTTTGCTGAAACACAAAGGGTTTTATGGGAAATGGTCCAACAGGAATTAGAAGACCCCAAGTGCAGCTCAGACAGCCTTGGTGGGATACAACCCTCCCTCCATCTCTGGCAAAACCATCCCATTTACCTGTTGGGTCTACTGTAGATCAGGAACCAGTATTTCTTGAGCACCTGCTGTTCTAGGTCCCAGAGAGGAAGGAGAGAGGCAGAAGACCTGGCCTCTACTTTCAGAAGGCCGGGTCTGACCAATGAAGGTGACCAGTGAGAAACTCTAACCCAGAATCCCTCAGGGCAGTGGCCAGTGGGGCCTCCACGAACTCTGGGTAGGAAGGACAGGAGACCTGGAGGCCTATGCGGGGAAAAAAGAGAGGGAAAGGGTATTCCTTGGTCTCCAGGCCTCAATAAATGTTGCCGGGAGATTAAGAACTAACATTTATTGAGTCCTTACTATAGATGCTTTATATATTTTAGCCCCTCTGATCTTCACAACCTGTGTGATGAGGTAAGTGCTATGATTATCCTCATTTTAGAGGGACGCCATGTGGGGCCCGAAGAGGTTAAATACCTTGCCCAAGGTCACACAGCTAGTGAGTGGTGATGGAGTCTGTGCTCTTCACTGGGGCACTGAAGGAATGGGTTCAGCAGTTAGTCTGATAAGCTTTCATAGGCTTGTGTGTCAGGCACTGGAGCAGATGCTGGGGCCACAGACGAACAAATTCTCTAACCATCTAGCGGAAGAAACAGACAAGGATTATTTCGGTAACAAATGGCGAATAGGGTGAAGCCAATGCCATGGGAGACACTGAGCTGGTGCTCTGAGCCCAGCTTTGCAGGTGGGGGACACCCAGGCGACCGTGAAGGGATGAGTAGGAGCTGGCCCAGGAGTCGTGGTGTGGCGTGGACCGAGGGTTCTCAGCTGGAGGTGTGTTTCGGGTGACACAGGGATGGGAGAGGCAGAGTTCGTGTAAGGGAAATCCTCCCAATATTAGCAGGCCCAATCTCCTGACCTGAGGCTATGGTTGGGGTTTTTTTTTCCTTTTTCAGTAAGACGAGAGGTAGTACTCAATAGAAGGAAATAGTACTCATCTCTATAATTTCCTTGAAGAATAAAAGCCTCTTAGAGCCAGAAGCGGTGAAGACTGGCTACTGGGAGATGGAATCCCAGGCAGGGGTGGGTCCCTGGGAAGGAGAGTGGCTTGTGGAGTGGGGGAGTGAGGGGAGCTATGTCTCCGGTAGGCTGCAGGAGGTACTGGGGCGAGGCCCCGGGAAACACGGATGCCTTGCTCATCCTCTCCGCTGCAGTGTCCCAAGGAGGTGCCTTCAAAGGCTACCTGCAGCCAAGAGCAGCAGGAAACGAGAGGATTCGCTTCTCCTCTCACAGTGCCCAGCTTACGGCCCTGGCAGGGTTCTTTAAAGGGGCTAGTCTTTTGTCCTCCAAAGCCTCATCCTCATTCACCCCTAACCCTATCCCATCTAGTGCAGGATGCCTCTGGAGCCCACAAGCCTCCCAGTGTGTGAGGAGGATGGCATTCACCCCCATGGGGCTGGCACACAGAGAAAACCAGCAGCAGGCCAGTGTCCCACAAGGCCAACGACAGCAGGGCTGACCTCATTTCCAAAGGCTCCTGCTGGGTCTGGAGAGTTCCGACCTGGGAGTGCCGAAGCAACAGTCCACTATTGGAGGGCATCGGAGGAATACCCCCTCCATTTTGGCATCCCCTCTAGCTGCCTACGCAGGAGGAACGTGGAGAGGACAAGACCTGCCAAGGGTTGTCCAGGCCTCCGCCCCAGTCTACCCCGTGCGAGGCTCAGCCAAGGGCTGGACACCAGGGAAGACTAAGGCATGCAGGCCTGACATGGCTTCAGGAAGACCCAGGCTCAACCCGGCAGGGACTTGTCGTGGTTCCATTAACCTCACTCTAGCACAGCAGTGGTTGGGAACCTGGCTTGGCCTTGGTGCCGGTGTTCGAGGGGTTAATGGAGCCCGGCCTGGTAGGTGATTACTGATGGGCCTGTCTCATGGTTTTCATGAGCTGAGCCCGGGGGTGTGTGTGGCCTTTCTCCTTAGATTGCCGAGTGTACGCGGCAGGCGGGATGGGCCTAGACCTCCGTCCGCACAACCACCTCCAGCACTATGACATGCTCAAGGACATGTGGGTATCACTAGCACCCATGCCCACCCCGAGATATGCTGCCACCTCCTTCCTCCAAGGCTCCAAGATCTATGTGCTGGGTAAGGACGAGTTATCGGTCCCACATCTATCTCTCCTTCCCTCCCCGGGGCCCGTTCCCACGGGAAGCCGTGTCTGAGTGCTGAGCATCTCCTCAGTACTAGGGGGTAACCATGATGCCCCAACCCCTCAGGGAGCCCCCTGTATGGGTGGGTAATAGTCAGAAGGGGAAATGCAGCCCCTTGCCCTCAGGTACTTACATGGCCCCCCTCCCCCACCCCTCCAACCCCATCCTGGCCCCTAGGGGGACGACAGTCCAAGTATGCAGTCAATGCCTTTGAGGTCTTTGACATCGAGACTCGCTCCTGGACCAAGTTCCCCAACATTCCCTGCAAGCGGGCCTTCTCCAGCTTTGTGACCCTGGATGACCGCCTCTACAGCCTGGGGGGCCTGAGGCAGGGTCGGCTCTACCGGCAGCCCAAGTTCCTCCGGACCATGGACGTGTTCGACATGGAACAGGGTGAGCAGGGCACCAGCCTCTAGCTGCCCACCACCCCTCTGGCTGACTCCCCCCTACTTTCCCCCCCCGATCCCGTCCACCCTCCCAGGGCTGCTGACCCAGTGGCATGAGCCTTTCAGAGGTCTAGATAGCCCTCACCATTCCGGGCTACTGTTGGGCTCACTTTCTTCCATGTGGACAGGGCTCCTCTCGGCTGGCTGGTTATTTGTCTCCAAGCCTTTCCCGTCTATTTTCTTGTCTTACAACATCCTGGCAGGGCCAGGGGAGGGAGGGCTTTTCCTGCTTTTTACCGATGCAGACACAGAAGGATCCTGGTCAGGATTACGGTTCCTTGGACTATAGCGAGCCTGGGAGTGGGGAGAGGCCACAGAGCTGTCATTTCAAACAGCAGGAGGTGTAGTTTATGCCCTGAGCACGAAGGGTGGACGGAGTGGACTTCTGTCTCAGGTGTGAGCTCTGGGGACTCAGTGTGTATTTGGTGGGGGAGGTCAGCATCTAATTCTCTCTAAATTTATCCTGCCACGATCCGTGGCCCGTAGGGGGCTGGCTGAAGATGGAACGCTCGTTCTTCCTCAAGAAGCGGCGGGCAGACTTTGTGGCCGGCTCTCTGAGTGGACGGGTCATAGTGGCTGGAGGACTTGGTAAGGATGGCGCTTCCAGGCTATTACTGCGGGTCGAGTGCTTGGTGGACACTTGGCGCTCTGCGTGAGCAGGAGAAGGTCCTGGCTGCTTGCATACTGCCTGCCTACCCCTTTATCCCAAATAATTTAAAACACTCCCTCCCACGTATCCACAAACGGGCCCCCGTGTGCTCCCCCTCTTACACAGGGGAAACTGAGGCCAAGAGAGCATGCAGGACATGCTGCTAACCGTGGAACACAGGCTTGCTGAGCACAGCTCCCTGGGGCCCTATCCAGGAACACTGGAGACAAAAGTGTAGCAGGGATTAGCCTGGTCCTCTTTCTCTGGCCAGCTCTACTCCCTGGATACCCAGCTCCATCTTGGAATAGGAAAGCAATCTGATTAGACAGATTTTTGTAATGGATTCAGGATTTGCTGGGTTACTCCTCGCAGAGAGTAGTGGTATTTTGAAGGCAGGACCCCAGCTTCAACAGGGCAGAGATACATGGGCAGCAGGGCTTCTAGGCACCCAGAGTTCACTGAGTGTGGACAGACTCCCACTTCACCGGAGTATGAAAGGGGCTCAATGTGAGCCAGACCTTGGGGACGGCTTTTTAGTAAAGGGCAAAAGAGAGGCAGCAGCAGTATCTAGAAACTTCTGGTAAAAGCAGAGGGTGGAGGAGATGAAAAGAGGGAGAGAAGGCAAGCGGGGCAAAGTGGCTGTTTGACAAGAGCCGAGGCCCAGGGTAGGGAGGGAGCCCTTCTGCAGCCCAGGGACTGAGGTCCCTTGGCTTCCGCTTGGGGGTTCCAGAGGGAGCCAGGGAGGTGGCGGCCCTGTGGGGCACGGATCAGTGGCTGGGCTCCTTTGTAAGGTCCGGTTCCCTTGGCACTTTCAGGGAACCAACCCACGGTCCTGGAGACGGCAGAGGCGTTCCACCCCGGGAAGAGCAAGTGGGAGGTCCTCCCCACCATGCCCACGCCCCGCTGTGCCTGCTCCAGCATAGTTGTCAAGAATTGCCTCCTGGCTGTGGGGGGCGTCAACCAGGGTCTGAGCGCCGCGGTGGAAGCGCTGTGTGTCTCTGACTCCTAGCTGTCCCTGGGCCCAGCACCTTTGCCCCGGACCAGATCACTCCACTCTTGGGCAGTCTGGGTGACTTCCCAGGATGCTAGGTCCTGTCAGCAGCTAGTGGGCTCAGGCCCTGGGGCTCTGAGGGACCTCCCTCCACCTCCAAACTGTACCAATCCCAGGAGACGGTAAGAAGACGCGTTGACTCCGCCAGCCTCCAGCTGGAGCCCAGCAGAGCTCTGAGGAGACTCCTCCCTTAGTGCTCAGGCAGAGGAAGGCCCAGGAGTACCTGCTACCTCCCCTTCCAGTGAGCTCTGCCCACCACCACCACCCCCACCCCCACCCCCACCCCCGGCGTCCAGGGCAGGAGGTGGGTAGAGCAGAAGACAACGGCTACCATTATGAGGATGGGGAGGATTGGGATGGAAAATGGCGAAGGGCTGCAAGGAGTCCCAAACCCCTCTTCTCTCCCGTGGCCCGCATCCTTCCCCCATTTGGCGGTCAACCTCGGGCCTGCCCTAGCCCTCATCTGCTCAGCGAGAAGTGGCCTTGGAACAGGGGCCGCTGGGTTGGAAGGGAAGCCAGGTTCGGCTTCCCCGCTCCTCTCCTCACTCACTTAGTCCTTCTGCCACCCCTCCCTGGCCCTTTCGTCCCCGGCGACCCCGGAGTGTTTCTGTGCAAAACCTCACGTACACCGTGGCATCAAAGTCCACGAAGGCTGGGTTCGTGGCACTCGGGTTAACAGGAGCAGCACAACGATTAAAATCTATATTCCTATCCTCTTGGGCAGCTGGTGCAGGGGCAGGGTGGACGGGTGTCTTGGTGGGTAGAGGGGACCCCAGGAAACAGTCCCTCTGACAGCCTCAGACTAAACAGGACCCCAGGCGACCAGCTGTCCTTGGCTGTTCCCACTGAGGAGGCTCCATCTCCAAACCACCCCCACCGAGTCACCTCGCTCCCAGCACAGCTGCATCTCTGCCTTCTCTTCAGCGTGGAGACTCCGCTTCCGGGGTAGGAAAGGTTGCGCTCATTAGCTGACATCTCCACGTCTGGCCTCAGTTCACTCAGCTCAAGTTCACTCCTGTCTTACCCCAAGTTGAAAGGGGATTGCTCATGGACTTAAAGACTTGAAGCTCGTAGAGCACCTCTCTCTTCTCCTCCTCCTCCTCCTCCTCCAAGATTTTATTTATTTGAGAGCAACAACAAGGGGTGGGGAGGGGCAGAGTGAGAGAAGCAGGCTCCCCGCCCTGAGCAGGGAGCCCGATGTGGGGCTCCATCCCAGGACCCTGGGATCATGACCTGAGCCGAAGGCAGATGCTTAACCGACAGAGCGACCCAAGCGCCCCTGGAGCACCTCTTTCTGAGTCCCAGTTATTTTTAAAAGCTCTATCAGCACCGGGGATACAAAGAAAAACCTGCCTTGGGAGGGGTTGCAGGGTAGTCAGACGGCACTTACTACCTGATGATGTAATTCGTTCTCGAGAAGCAGGAATAGAGAAGAAACGCCTGTCCGTGTCTCAGGGCTCAGGGGGAGCCTCCTGGAGGATCCCCTGGGCCTTGAGGACAAGGGGAACCTGGGTCTTCTGGGGCTGGAGGAAGGGTGCTGCCCCCTGCTGGCCCAGCCTGGCCTTCCCACCCAGGCTAGAGGTGGCCTGTGGCTACGGGCGCCCCCTGGTGAGCAGACTGCAGGGGACGCTTTCCTATTGCTTCTGGACTCCCGGATTTTGGGTCTGTTAGTTGCTGAAGTAACTGTTAGAAGAAGGTGCTGGAAGAGCTACAGATCCTCTGAGGGATGGATCAGCATGTTTGGGAAGTCACTGCCAAGTCCAGCCCTGGTCTGGCCCCCCCACCTTTCCTCTTCCATTTCTGCACTGTCCCCTTCCACCCTCCCTGAGAAAGGTGTTTACAAGCAGGGGTCCCTCCACCCTTTCCAAGAGAGGCCAAAGCTCTGTGTGTGTGGGGGGGGTGTTGGAGGAGGGGGCTTTCCAAGCACACAAAATGGTAGCAGATCCGTGGATGGGACTGAAGCATTTTTAAATGGTCAGAACTTCAGGGGTACAGTCAGCCTGAAAAAGGGCCTCCCCATTATGAGACTGGGGGACTGGCCACCAGAACCCATGGGGGCCACCAAGAGCTGGAGCTGGGGTCTGCTGAGGACTTACCTCTTGGAGGTCCATTCTGGGAAAGACTTTGGGGGCACCTCGCTGAGCTAGGGAAATGGAATGTCAGTGGTAAGCCACATGGTCTGTACCTCATGGTGCCATGGAGGCCATTCAGGATCTGGGGTGAGATGGCCTGACTCCAGGCCCTGCTCCCCCTCTCCCCCCCGCCCCCAAAGGCTTTCATGTCATAATCCCTCCCCTCCTCTTTCTCATCTTCATCTCCCAATCTGTAGAACAAGAGCAAGGATCATGCCATCTGACAAGGTGCCAAAGCCCTCACTTCAATCCTTAGATCAACTCTATGAGGTAAGGGGTGTCCCATTTTGCAGATGAGAAAGCTAAGGCTCGAAGAGATTACATAACTTGTCCAAGGTCCCAAGCTAGTAAGTGACTAAGCCAAGTCTGACTGCAGACTTTCTGACCACAGCACTGCATTGCCTCGAAGGACCTAGCACACAGAGGAGGAAAGGACATCAGCTGTGACGTACCAGTGTACGGGGTTCGAAATATCACCCAGAAAGATTGGTGCCATAGCAGCTGGAGGGCCTCTTGCATCCTTTATCCCTGTGAGCTTGGGCAAGCCTGGGATCAGTCTGCTTTACAGATGGGGAAATAGAGACTTCCACAAGTTGTCATGAGCTCTGGAAATGGGGGAGTCCAGTCTTTCTCACGGGCCCTCACGTACTCAGCACCTGGTTCATGCCTGGCACCCAGCCAGCGCCCGCTAAATGTGTCCTGAGCGAGTTTAAGGGATGGTTCCTTGAGGGGAAGAACTGGGAAAAATTCCTAGAGCCCCAGTCCCAGTTCCTCATTAGCCAGATTGGACTCTCCAGAGTCCTGAGACAATTTCTTTTCTTCATGCAGAACACCCTCCAAAGAGGAAATATTTGGCAGATGACTCAGAGGGTCAGTGGAGTAAGGGGCTGGAGGCCGGGAAGTATCGGAAGACTGGACACCTGAGGTGACACCTCGAGTTGTAAGTTTTCTAGGCAGTTCAGAGAGAAGTCTGTCTCCCCCCCCAGCCTCCCTCCACACTCCACATTGCTGGAGTGAGGACCTCCAGGCTTGCCGCTGGTAGCCTGGCCCACCTGGGCCCTAGCTGGGCCTTCCAGACTCCTCCTCTGGGGTCGACCTTGCAGGGGGAGGTGTGTGGCTGCTCCCTCAAGGCGAGGGACTCCTAGGGCCCTACTCACTGTCTCCAGAAGGTGGCCCACCCTGCCCTCCTTATCTGGAGGACGAGAAGGGGATTTGGGGACACTCTCCCACTCACCGGAAAGGGAGTCCTGGTCCTAACCTCAGGTTAGCAGCTCACATCCTTAAAAGCAAACATTTGTAAGGGAATGGTAATGTACAAATCCCTTTCCCAGGCTCCCCTATCTAGATCCAGTGTCCCCATCTATGGGAGAAGGGGACTTGATTGGAGCCACCCTTCCAGATGGGTCTCTGTTAACCTCAGACCTCCACATCCAACACCTGTGGGAAGCAGGCTCAGCCCTGGTGACAAACGACCACCCCACCTTCATTCTTCTCACCCACATCCCCCTCAGGCTGCTCCCTCCCCGATTCCCATGGCCACCACCTGGGTTCACACCCTCATCCTCCTGCCACATGACGACCTCCCACTACGCTACCCACTGCAGCCCTCTCCTCCAGCCCCCGCCCCCTTCGCGTCGCTGTTAGGCCCCTGCGCTGGGGAAATCTTTCTCATCTCCGAATCCAACTGTCCTTGCAGAGCTTAGCATCCCCAGCAGCTCGCCCTTGCCTTCAGGTGATTCCCAGCCTCAGTCTGGGCCTCTGAGGCCCTTGGCACAGGTCCCGCCTCCCTGCCTCCCCATCTCCCCGTCTCCCCGCCTCCCCTCCTTGCCTCTGCCCAGGGTTCCTGCCCCTTGTGTACCTGGTGAATGCAGCCACCGCCCCCCACACATCACCCCCAGACACAAAACTTTGTAGGTTCTCCTCGGGACCGTGACAGCGCCATTCGTCCTTGGAGGCTCAGAGCATCGCAGAGGGCTGGGCACGCAGTGTCTAAATGTGTAACAAATAACTGATGGAATAAATGTGTAGCAAACAACTGAGTTGAATGAAGCCAGAAATCAAGGAGCCGAGAGACAGCAGTAACATTGAGAGTAACCTTTACAATGCCCCCTCTTCCTTGGCTTCCGTCTACAGCCTGTGGCTGGCACAAAGCATCAGATTCAGGAAATCAGCAGTATTTCAAATCCCCTCGCTTAGGGATCGGGTCCCGTCTCCCTTTGCAGCAGGCTCTGACGGGAGGAATAGGCCAGGATCGGGCTTTTCATAAGCTGTGGGGGACAGCCAGCCTATTAATCCGGGCTTGTGATAACAACCCCCAGCACCAGATTATGCTGGTGTCATTCGGGGCCAAGAGAAATGCTGGCTCCTGCCTTCCCTTACCAAGGGTCAGGAGCTGGTGACCGGCTCAAGAATGTGCTTTGTTTGGGGTTTACATTCCAGGAGCAGCTTGGGAGGCCAAGGGCTCAGGTTGCCAGTGGGAGCCAGACACGGGGCAGGGAGGTGGCACCGGGCAGACCTTCCCCCCTCCTCCCTCCTGGGCACACCTCCTATGCCCCGCCCTGCCTGGTCCTCTCCGGACCACTCTCACAAGTGCAGGGGGGCGGCTGTGGACGCAGGGCCAGGAGGAAGAACACACTCAGCCCCTTCAAGGGAGCAGCATTTAAGTGGAGTATGGAGTACTAAGCTCTGAGCCACCACCATAAATGCCCCGCTGCTGGGGAGCCTTTTTAACAGTTTACAAAGAGCTTCTGTGTTCAGGGTCTCTTTTGACCAATCACAAACTGAGATGTAGGGAAACTGAATCACCTGCCCCAGGTCATGTGGCCATCCCGGGAGAGAGCCAGGTGTAGAACCCCATCCTCTGACTGCCTTTCTGGGGCTCATGTACCCCTTGCCTCATGGACATCGACAGCCTCTGTACCCCAGGATCCAACCTAACTAAGGCCCTGACTTCACAGGCTTAGTGAAGGATCAATAAAATAGTGGATGTGAAAGTGTTGACCCTGTAAAGATGAGGACTTATTTTTATTTTTTAAAAAAGATTTTATTTATTTATTTGACAGAGAGAAAGTATAAGCAGGGGGAGCAGCAGAGGCAGAGGGAGAAGCAGAGCCCCCCGATGTGGGGCTCGATCCCACGACCCTGGGATCATGACCTGAGCCAAAGGCAGCCGCTTAACTGACTGAGCCACCCAGGCGCCCCTTATTTTTATTTCTTATGTCCCATTTCAGCCCATCACCCTCTCCGATGGCTAAGGCAACAGCACAGCAGAATTAGTCAGTGGAAAGTACCTGGTGACTGGGTGCCCAGATGAATCCCATGAAAACTTTCACCCCAGTCCTAAGCATAGGTGCCCCCGCTCCCGCCTGCAAACCCCACAGCCATGGGAGTTACACAGGCTCAGAGACTGAGAAAAGGACATAGGAATGAGGGGCAGCAAAAGAGAAAGATCTTTTCGTTTTGCCATCAACAACAGGGTAAGAGGACCCTTTCCAAAACCCCACCTAGAAGCCCCGCACTAAATCTACACAAACAGCCACCCACTCCACCTCCCAACCCTCCAGAATATCCTTGTTCTGCTAGCAAACCAGCGCTTGAGAGTCATTCACGGCCCCTTCCTCTTCTCTCCCCAAGTCAGGCTCCTCTCTCCCTTCCCCAGCACAGAGCTCTAACCTTGGGCAGTCTCAATGCTTATCTTAACAGTCTTGTGTCCCAGATCAGATCCGCTGTAGCTCAGGGAGTCTGATAAGCCCCTTGGTGTCACAGCGCACGCCCACGCATGTGGGTCTCTGCCAGAACTGGGGGGAGGGGATTGAGAGTACCAGAGCTCAGCAAAACCCCAAGTAGACATAGGAAATCATCAATCTGACCACTTCACATCTTGTTTCATCCCACAGAAAGCCCACAAGGCAGTCATGAGGCACATTTCAGGTCGAGTAAACTATGACATCGAGAGGCATAGTTTATTTGAGACTCTGGGCAAATCAAGTATGCCCTCTAAGCTGAAGTATGAGGGCTAAGAGACCTGTTTCTGAAGCCAGATGGCCTGGGCTCCCATCTGGCTCCACTACTTGCCAGGTTTATGACACTACAGTTCTTGAATTTCTCTGTCTCAGTTTCCTCATCTTTGCAATGGGGATAATCATATGCCGGCACCCACGTCCTAGAGTTGTGTTGAGGATGGAATTCATGAACCTGAGCCTGGGTTGTAGATTCCTGAGCCAAAACAGCATTCCACTCTGGGGCTGGGAAAGGGAATGGAGCCCCTGAATGTCTTGTAGTGATGGAATCACCTGCCAGGTGGGCAAAAGAATGGGAGTGGCAGAGATTTCCAATTCGTCCTTTCTTAGATGTGGCAAAGGAGTCCCAGAAGAGTTGAAATGAAACTCAGAGTTGGTTTATCCAAATCTCTTTTTAAAGACGAGGGAACTTTCCCAGGAGAGAAAGTCCTTGGCCATGACCCAAGTGGGTATGTTGGTGGTTAAAAGAGGAGCTGGAACCCAGGACCTCTGACTCTTCATCTGCCTGAGCTCTCCCTGCCGCCCCAGGCAGGAGACAGGCAAGCTTTCTGTTTTGGGGAGAAGAGGTAGGGTCATGTCCCTCCCAGGTCTAACCTGTGAATAAGATTCAATTTCCCGTTGTAATCGAGAGCGTTTCAGTGTTTGCTGCACACGATTCCCCCAAATTCCTGGTAAGGCTTACAGAATTTAGATTGTAAGCAGCTCATTAGTTCCAGCTTGTATTTCCGGAGCCCATTTGGGTGCCACAAAGCAATACCATCCTTAGGAGCTCGAGCTGTGATGTTGGACCCATGGGGTTAGCCTCTTAGCTCTGTTACTCCCAGTCAGGGCTGGGTGGTCTTGGACAGGACACTGTATCTAAGACAGTTAGAACCAGGGCTGGCTCAATAAATGTTAGATATTATTATACTTATTGTTGTCATTGCTCAGTACATATTTGTTGAATGAATGAATGAATGAATGGATGAATGGATGAATGAATGAACGAATGGAGTGATTGGCTCATTGAAGGAATAATTACCTAAGCAAAGCTTGTGGTCACAGCTTTGGGTATCCCATATAACTTGCTAGGCTTGAGTTGGTCAGCAGAGAGCAGCATTGAGTCAGGCATCCTAACTTGCCAGCCACTTCCAGAGTTTAAAACCCTCTCTTTGGACTCCCACCTCCTAAACTTGGAGGGCCACTTCTAACTCATAGGTTCCTATCCAGACAATTCCACCAGCTCCTGAGAGGGGAAGGGCAGCACCTTCAAGGCTATACTGTCCACCACCTGGGGGTGGACTGAGAGCTGTAACCCATCCTCAGGGCTCCGGGGAAAGGGAATATAATTGTTGGGGTCTCAGGCTGGAAGGGCCCTCCAGCCTGCAGCAGCCCTTTTCCCAAAGAAAAGAAAGATGGGGCTCAGGCATCAATACTGAGGTGAATCCCGAGGTAGGAGATGCTCTAGGGCCTGGGAGTCTCCCTAAAGTTTATCAGATCCAGAGAGGGCTTGGCTGGCCCTTCTCTACTCTCCTACCTGCCCCCCAACCCCTCACACACACACTCGGCATCGCCTCCCCTCACCCACCTCCACCCCATCCCTGAAGGCCTTTCCTCATACTTCTCCCTCTAAGGTCCTCCGTCAAACCCCTGAGCCAGAGCAGGACCCGTCCTTTCAGCCTCACATGGCACCTTGTACTTCTCTTGAGGCCCTTCCTACTTTCTGCCTTGGGTTATATGATAAATTGTGTATTTATCTTATTTCCCTTACTAGACTGTATCCTTCCTGAGAGCAGAGAGCTAATTCTTGGTCACCCCTCAAGGCTCATCTTAGATGTATTTCTTTTTCAGAAGAAATGCTTTACCCCTCACCCCCCAAAATATGGCTTTGGTGTCTCTCACCTGCCCTCCCACCAACACCCTGCATTCCATGCCCCACGACAGTCCTTCCTCTGAGCCACATTAACATCTGTTTTTACTAGTCTAGACCCACACAGACACGCATGCACACAAGTTGTGAAGTGTGTAGGGACTGGGGCAGATGCTTGTTTCTCATTGCTTGCCTGATGTGGCCCAAAGAATGGTTATCCCCAGAGCCCTTCCCACAGCGATCAGTGATGGGACATGGGGGTGGGGGTGCCAGGCTTCCCCTTCCCAGGAGGGGATGGTGGGGCAGGCAGGATTAACATGGCCTAGCTCAGCCCAGCTTTCCAGCCACATCCGAGCACATGACCCAGGAATGTCCTGAAATCTGCAGCAGCCGAGGCCCCAGATATAATCAGATTCCCTGTCAGGGAATTCTCACTCTGTTGCGACAGACCAGGTCTCCCTGTAAGGAATTTGAGAGTTGAGTTTCAGCAGTGAACCACATTTCCGAGTCACAAGCTGTTCCGGCTCTGAGTCTGTGCCTCCGCCTGTCTCTGTGGACAGACAGCAGCTTGGTCCACTCATCACTACTGTCTCGTAGTCCCTTGGGGGCCACCAGGGCGCACCTGGCTGGAACAGCACAGATTTCTTTTCTCTGGGCTCTTTGATCATGCATGGCTTGCCCCCTAAATAAGGATTCACATTCCGGTCAAAGGAAGCTGAGGTGGGGTAGGGAAGGCCCAGGAGGCGCAGGAGATCAACCCCCCAAGGCAGCCAGGGCCCGTTCAGGTGGTGATAGAGGGAAATCAATCATCTGGAGATGCTTTCACTTTAATCTTTG